TACTTCAGCAGACCTTATTGACGCATGCGCATACAAAATGCCCTCCTGGGCCGAGTTGTTCAAAGCTGGGTTAAGATAACCCAGGGTTAGTGCGAGATTTGAATTCAGCTTTGAAAGCTTAAAAAGCGTTTCAATTTTAATTCTTTTTGTCTACAAGTTGATAATTGGAAGCTCTAAAAATAACAGAGAAAATTATCCGAGAAAATGCTTTTGAACACAAGAAAAAGAAACCCGGGTTACATTTAACCCCGGGTTAAGTGCTAATCGGCCTTCGAACAACTGGGCCCTGTTCAACTGCTAGAGAAGAGAATATGCTTATTGAGGACATCAAACTGTAGAGCGTTGAAGAGGCGGCTTCTCCTCAATTGCTTGCACGTGATGTCACGGCGGCCATGTTGGAGGTGAAGAAAAAAAGCATTTCTCCCCTCTTGCAGCTCTATTTTCATGTAAATTCTTCAAGAAAAGAATTGTTTTGTATTGACCTTCCACATGGCCGCCTTGTCACGTGGTTGCAGACCAAGAAGATAGCACTAGAACTTACTAACGACGGGAGGTTAACAGACAAGTCTCTTTACCAAAGACGCACAAATCTGGGTTTCTACTAAATAGCACGTTTCATCCTCACTCGGTTAAATGTCACTTTTTTCTTTCATTTAAAAAAAAAATCTTGGAGATTGACTCTGTCGTCGAGACTCGAGCCCCTGGCTTTATTTAGACCACTTCGAAAATATGGGCTTTGAAAAAGCACCATTGTCTGGGAATCGAGTTTCTTATATTGCAACTAACTAAAAGACGCGTCAAAAGCCTAAATGATAGCATGTATCATTTCTGCTGAATTGGCCACATTCCCAGGCTCCGTAATATTTAAATACGTTGTGAAAATAAAATGTCATTACGAAAGTCCAAATGTTGGCTCGTATCACTATAGTGGGCAACAAAAACTTGTTTGCGGCATTACATCGGGATGTTGTTCAAACCTTGCAAGAAATCAGAAAGTTGTTGCAATATTGGGAAGAGTTGTTTCAGAAAGTAGTCTTCTTTTTGCAAAAAAATCTGTACATGTTTACGTTGCACATTTTACCAGCCCGGTGTAAGCTTGTTTTGCAGCAACTGACGTAAATCCCCTGTATGGCGTGACTCAATCAAATTATAAGTCATTATTCACACAACTTATCTTTTTAAATATGCATTTAATCTTAAGCGTTTCTTCTCGTTTGTTTCATTTTGTTCGAAGACATGATTTACATTATCTTTTCTATATTTTTTGTGGATAGATTTCTATGATATACTTCTTTTAAAGCTAGTGTCTTTGTGTATTTTTAATTAACATAGTCAATGGTCAAAATTAATTAATAATATTCTAATTATTTTCAATTTAATGTGCTTAGGGAAGCAACTATTTAGAAATACACTGTAATATATTGTCAGTAAAGGTAATAACATGATTTGTGGTGATATTTGGCATAAATACCACAAGTGATATTTCAAAATTGTTAATTTCACGAGCCGTCAGGCGGGTGAAATATGAGACAGTTTTAAAGTATCACGAGTGGTATTGTAATTGCCTATATAAAGCTTCTTACGTGGCCTCTCTTCACCCAGGTGAATAAATAGGTACTGGCAACATATTGCGGGAATGGAAGGGGGGGGGAGGGGTAACACTGCGATGGTTTGTTTGGACTAACATCCCACTGAGGGAGGAGTATGCAAAAAAAAAAGGCTTTAACCCCCCCCCCCCGCAAACACACACACACACACACACACTTCACTGATCATAAAACAACAGGACTTAATATAGTTTGTTGTATTAAGTCCTTGTACGTAGAGGTTCTCCTCAGCCTCCCCCCGTCATTAGCAGCCCCCTCCCCCCTCCCCGCTCCCCACCGCTTGGGAAACGTTTTCGCCTTCCCTATTCCTTGGCTTGTGTCGGACTCTACCCAGTTCAAATTAAATTTTACACTAAAAGGTTTGCTTTTTTCCACCCTATTTTTGATCGGAGCCAATCTTCGATACCCAGTATTTTAGTCCACACAACAGTGGGCACTCTTATACATGTTCCAAACTACCCAGAAGCAGCAGTGGGTTTGCATCAACATTACTTTTACAATGGCTTCAATCTTACGGATTTCTCAAGGAAGAAACCAAAAGTAAAAGAGAAGTTTTTTAAAAATTCCTACCCAACTGCAGACCAATTCGTTTATTAACCTACAACATTATTCATTCAAAATATTTCCCCAATTCTGATTGGCTAAAAGCACACGCATAATTCACCATAACCAGTTACTGATGACCAAATTTGGAAAAAATTTTGTGTTTAACGAGGAAATGACGTCAAAAATGCAGCCTTCTACAGGTTAAAGTATCGTTAACCGAGAAGACCTAGGGACGAGGTTGAGTTGTTTTCGTTGTGAAAACTAAAATGGCGGACACTTCACTCGTTTCAAGAGTAAGAACTACAGCTGGAACTAGGCGAAATAATGGCTAAAAACATAGCAAAAAT